ACACAAATATCCATACCATTAGGTGATGGTATTTAATAACACATACCATTTACAAACACAGTAACTTTCAATCTTACTAAAAAGTAAATTTTATTAAAAGGATATATATGTCTTTAAATCCATGTTGCCACACTTTTCATGGGATCACTCAACTTTAAACTACAGAACATTGCAAAAAACATTTGACAGCAGAAGCTGAAGTCTGTGAGATGTTGGTGTATTAAAGCTTACATGGGAAATCTTAATAGGACAACTTAATAGGACAAGCAGAGAATTAACTACAGGGCTTTTAAAAGAGGATAGCACTGAGTTTCTAATCACAAGCATCATTAGCTTTAGTTTTAAAATTTATCAACAGAAAAATAGAATTTCACCAACCACAGAATTTCTTTTCTATGCCATAGCTTAGATTCAGATAGTCCTAAAGAAAAGCCATGAAATATTTATGATGTGTGCAGAGTTCCCCCCAAACAGAGGATAAAAGCCACTCAAAAAAAAGTAACACAGCATACAAAATAACATATATGACAACTTTACTTTTAGCTACTTCACAAAATACTGTTAGTAGTCTAAAATACAAATACATGTTAGAAATATTAAAGAACATTTCCACTTCTATTACCAACCTCACTGTAACAATATACTATATTAAAAAATAGCATTTTGTGTATAATATACTGATATGTCGTATAATCATAGGTTTGACATAGTGAAATATATAATATTAGAAGCAGAATATTAAGGGTGCAGCAGAAAAAAAGGCAAAGTATAATATGAAATATATTGCACAGTAACCTTTTCTGCTGCAATCTCTTCTACTTCATCAACAACAGCATTTTCTATTTCTATCTTACACCAACTCAACTTTTGGCATCATTTACAACATCATGGAACTTGGCACTTTATTTTTAATCTCGTTACTAAGAGGAGTTTGCTTCATTTAAATTTTGCACGTTACAATGCCAACCTTCTTTATGTTTTTCGATCCCATGCTGTTCTGAATACAGTCATACTGTGAATCCACCTTCCTTTTTGTGGACATGAAAACTCACACAGATATATATCACTACATCCTCACTGATCTCCATCAGATGTTACAGCATGATAAACACCTACTCATAGTGCAGTCATACCTTCCCATTGCTTTGTAGAAATACCCATAATCTACCAAACAGCTTGTGCTAGGATCTGGGATCAGGGTAATGATGAAACTACTTTGTATTCAAGGTATGATGTGAAATTCCCCTCTGAAGTTTTGCAACAAAGCACTGTAAACAGGTCTTCCACATATTTACAAAGTACACTATCAATCTGCATTTACTGAAATTAACTGAAATGATAAATAAACGTTGAGGGTTTCTCAGGGGAATGGCAACTGAATTTAAAGCCTCCTACTAACATATCAGTAACTAAAATCTAGTTCAGGTGAATGAAACTGATAGCTGTTTTCTTAGAACAACTTTTTAGGTAGACTGTAACAGCCTTTTTCACTCATTCAGTGCCTTTTTTTCCTTTTTTATTTTTTTTTTTTGGCAACTGTAACATTTACAGAGAGGCAGTCATAAACAGTCACATTAACATATACATTTGGTGCAATTCAACAGAATTCATTGATTGAACATGTCTAGACACACGGGACAGGATAAGAAATTTCAGCTCTCGGGGTTAAGTGTTAGACCACAATACAGGGTCAGCAGTATGCAGTGCTGCAACTCTACAGCAATGAACAGTGAGAAGCAGTCACATTAAAACCTATTTCCTGTGAAGTGCCCAGTATCTGCAAGCCATCATGTCTCCACTGCTCTGAGAGATACATTAAAGCCAGTATATTCAATCCTGCTTTCACTGTAGTGCAGACAGTCCAGAAATGAAGTCTGCTCCTGGAGACACTTTCCAATTCTGAGCCCAAACTATTTCCTTTCAGATCCTAGAAGAGTCACTGTCCGGTCAGTAGCACTGCTGGTAGTAACATAAATTGCACTTAAGGATGCATAGAAAATACACTGGGCATTTGGTCTCTGCATAAAAAAATTGTGAAATACTAATGACACTCCTTGAACTTGACAGTAATAGCTCTATATTAATTTACTGAGCATGTACCTACAAAGTAATGTATTGACTCTGAAGTATGATTTAAAATCAGTAGTTTAGAGTCTGATAAAATTCTGGGTACAACACCACACAGCTCCATGTTACTGATCTGTCCTGTTTCTTGAAAATCAATTGAAGTATAAACCTGAGTATGGACTAGTTAATGGATGATACTGGAAAGCAAATGATATGTAGCTCCTTTCACTCACACAACCATTAAAATACTTTCAGAAACCTATAATGATGGGCTTTTCTAATTCACTCTGCCCTTGAGGAAAAATAGCCTATGACTAATCATTCCAGGGTATTCTTCAGGCCCTATAATAAAATCACCTTTAGTGCAGACCATTATTACACACTTCTGGCATTCACCAAATTTCTCTTCACCTTCTCTTTTTGAAAATGCTCAACCTGGCAAAGACTAGATTTTCTTAACTGTTTTTAAAGATATTTACATTAGCACCATCAGTCCCATAAATGCAGACGTTTAGCACTTACATGTACCGTGAACACAAAGGAGTGGAACGAGTGAACGCACAGAAGTGAGTTCTCATGCATAAAATTTTCCACCTTCCTGTAAACTGTTTACTGAATCCCAGTGAAAACTCCTCCCAAAGCCTTAGCATTCCTACTTCTCAAATTCTCATTCCTCTTATCTGCAGCATCCTTCCATCTGTTTGCTTGACCCTGCTGGTAAGAGTTGCTCCTACTCATGTGGCTCCAATATCCAAACAGACAAGTCCCCTGATTCATCCTGGCTCCTGAGCCTTCCCAATTGCCTAACATTCTTTTGCGGAATTCACTCTTCTGCAGGGAGACCAAGGGAACAGCAAGGAGGCTAGCACTCCCATTTAGGGAGTCTCACATCCCTCAAGCCAACCAAGACCACAGCTGATAGCCAGGATACTGTTAGAGCTTGATACATGGCAGTTGAAGCCACTAAACATGTCCTTCCCAGACAAAGCATGTTGAAAATGGATTATTTTTTTTTCCTTCCTGAAAGTTATAAACCTTTTATGGTTAGAATTGTGAGGGTAAGTTCCAAGATAGCTACATAGGTTGAAGAGAGCTGTGAAACAGCCACAGACCACCAGTCACACACAAATTCCATCTTAGCTGCCTTTTACTCACTAAAAGCTGTTTCTAGAACTCATGACATCAAACCGTGTACAGGAAGATCAGGAGGGACTATTTACAACTGACTCCAACTTAACTTGTACTACATTTACATGGTATGATGCACATACTTTTTAAATACTGTGCCTATAGGTAAGTTATAACAAGTTCTTCAAGATTTGGGAAGATTTCTAGAAATCATTTGTTAAACATTCTCAAATATCCAAAAATAATATATAAATACATATGCACTATTCCAGTGGTTAACTTTCAAGACACCAGCACCTGAAGAAGTTTCAAACATTAACTTGATATTTGAGGATATTACCATAAACACTTGACTTTCATATTTTGTCGTGTTTCTCTTTTGTTACCACGTATAAGCAGTAGTAATCCCAGGTCAAAACCATGAAACACTGTGAAGTGTCGCTTTTACTGTTCAGGTTTGTCACAATAAGATCTTTTCAGACTTGTATGAATATGTACACAAAATACCATAAAGGTTGTGTTCTGTAAACTACTGCAAAAACCTGTCATCGCTGAAGAGGTCACTTCAATAAAAAAGGCTTATCTGATTATGTGGTAATAAAGAGATTTAAGATAGGCAGTGAAATAAATCACTGCAAAGGATTAGAGAAAATTCACATATTTAAACCTAAGAAAGGAAAGGAAAAGATGATTCATAATCACATTTAAGAACATCTATCCTGGAGTAGGACTGAATTTCAGAATGGTGCAATAGCAAGCATGCAATCTGCCTACACTGCATAAGTTATTCATATGCAGTATTCATCAGGAGCATGCTTACTTTACAGAACACTTACCTGACACAAGATCATGAACAAACAGGTTGAAAAAAATAAAAGATTTTGCAAAATATCAATGACAAGACTAGTGGATAGCGCAGAACCCAACTTCCAAACTATCCTGCAGATTTTTATTTTATGTTAATACACTTGGGCCTTCAGTAAAGCTGGGGAGGGACTCTGTCAGGGAGTGTAGGGATAGGACAAGGGGTAATGGATTTAAACTAAAAGAGGGTAGATTTAGATTAGATTTAAGGAAGACATTCTTCCTTATAGTGCAGGTGAGGCCCTGGCACAGGCTGTCCAGAAAAGCTGTGGATGCCCCATCCCTGGAGGTGTTCAAGGCCAGGCTGGATGGGGCTTTGGGCAACCTGGTCCTGTGGGAGGTGTCCCTACCCATGGCAGGGGGGTTGGAATTAGATGATCTTCAAGGTCCCTTCCAACCCAAAGCATTCTGTGATTCTATGATTTTTTCATAAGTGGCAGATCCAAATTAGGGAAGGAAATTCAGCACGTTACTACAAAAAATCATATCCATGACATTTTACATTGAAAGAAATTCTAAAAGCTAACAGGGGTGGTTTGCATTATCGTAACGAAACTCTGGTTTGATGCTACTACATAAGCACAGGTTGCTCTGCATTTGTTGCTTGAGTTGGGCAAATACATGGTTCTAATTAAGGATCAAGCTCATTAATTCTATTTTTCAGATTCTTATTTTGTTCAAAAAAGAAAAAATATTTATAAAAGCAAGTTTTATATAGGCATATATAAATACAGGCAGATAAATACAGGAGAACAACATACATGCCCACTTACACTATATTATTTTGTATTTATAGACTGTTCACTTTATCAACAACTTACAACATGCCTTAATAAATTTGCTTAATATTTTTACATGATTTGAGAGATATTGTACATATTTATTAGTTAAGATATATTACATATATTTATTAGTGTATGTATATATAAAAAAGTTCTTACCAAAATGACTTGGAAAAGAGCTGGAAAAAGATGGTTTTCTTCCACAAAGCTGTAAAAAACATATTTTAAGATTTATTTTCAAAGAGAATAAGTAAATTCTTATTTAATACACTGAACTCATAAAAGGAGCAGAGCAGTAGAATAGTAGTTACCAAAATCCATGACCCAGAACCTCAGCCTTTGACTAGCTTTTAACAAAAATGAGCTCCACTTCAGCTATTAAATAGAAACAGCAATGTAACACTGCTTTGGAAATTACTTCTAGGTCTGCTTCACTGATGCAATGCAAGTGAGTGGAACAGTAAGTAAATTAGTATTTTTAAATGACAGAAAATAATTAAAATTCAGAAATACAATACTATACAGACTATGAAACAGTCAACATGCACCACAAACTAATTTGAATTAATAGGCTTACAACACACAGAGTGAAATTATAAATAAGCTGTGTTGTTTTTTAAAGCATGCTACATTAACTAACTTCTTGGGTTGAAAATATTAATGTATGGTATATTTGCAGCCACTTCTCTCAAAAGTATTGAGGAGTGGTTACCAAAAAGAATTTACTTATATCTTCCTGGATTTTAAAATCAGATATAAATCATTATATTTATAAATATTTATAAGAAGAATATTCTCAAAAGACAACAATACATTAAGGCAACCTCTTCTCTTAGATCTCCAAAAGCTTTAAATTTATTAATAAAACACGTGTGCATCTCTGTCACAAACACTGTGATGACAACTGAATTATATTTTTACATACCCTTTTCCATAGTACTCTGCCTAATTTGAGGAATGAGTCTTTTCCTTAGACGTACACTACATGCCCACTCACCAAACACCACAGCGAACACACGATTGTTTGAAACATTTCTTTTATCTTTACACAATTACTAAAACACTTCATGAACAAGAAGCAGATTTAGCACTGCGATACAGCTGAAAATGCAAGCTTGTATTATAAAGTCTGTGTAGTAAATGCAACATTCAAACAGAGTATTACTGTGTGCTTAACGTGAGACAGATGTTTTTACATGCTTCTTCTAGGAAGCTGACATACAATAAACTACATAATTATTTTGTAAGTATTATGTCAGTTAAAGACAGAAAATTGTATCATATAGTTCTCTGAATAAACAGGAGATTCATTTGACTAAAATAAGCACTCAACTTGATCTTTGAAACTTTACCATGTAATATCCTATACTGGCTTCCAGTACAACAATAATCAGATTAGTTCTGTTTGGCAAACTATTTGTTAAGAAGAATCCATACATTCCTAAAGTCGTGTTTCCAGTTAAAAGCCCTTACTCATGTCTGGTAAGAAAACAGAAGGTATTGTTTTCATGAATAGTGTAAGCTAAAGCACTAGACTGAGGCATTGAGGCAACTAAAAGGAATTGCACATTCTCTTCTACCAACTTAATGAGAAAATTGAAAGGAAAATAGAACAAACATCCAAGGGTCATAAAATTATAAGATGTAATCTCCCTTGTCAGAGTCCTAATTAATCATACATGTATTTGCTGAAATCATGTATGTAAAGGAAATATAAAAGGAAATAAAGAATAAAAGGGATGATAGAATAACTTTATTTGTGAGGAACTGAGAATTACTTAGGAGTCAAATATGTGCATTAGGTATAAATAATGGTTTTCTATTTCATTTTGTTTTGCCATTTCTCTGACTCTTACCATTCACCTCAATAGAGTAACAATGATTTTGTAGTTTAACCCAATAGGCAGCTCACCACCATACAGCTGCTCATACACTCCCCCCACAAGGGATGGGGAAGACAATCAGAAGAGTAAAAGTGAGAAGACTCCTGGGTTGAAATAAAGACAATTTACTAGGTAAAGCAAAAGCGATGCATGCAATCAAAGCAAAACAAGGAACTAATTTGCTGCTTCTTTAACAACTAAAAGATAGGTGTGTTATCAGCATTATTCTCATCTTAAATTCAGAACACAGCATCATGTCTCTACAAAGTCTCTACAGTCTCTACAAAGAAAATAAATTATATCCCAGCCAAAACCAGTACAGACAACCATACAGAATCTATATGAAGTCAGGGTGGGGAGGCGCATTTAACGTAATATATGATGTATTATATCAGGGATATGGTTTAGTGGGGCCTGTTAGTGTTAGGTCACAGGTTGGACTCGATGATCTTGAGGTCTCTTCCAACCTAGAAATTCTGTGATTCTGTGATAACACTGGTACATGGGCCTAGAGACAAATAAAACACAACTACCAAATCGGTCAAAACATAACGAATCAATATAATTGTATGCACAATTGTAAGCATATGAATATGCTTAATGTAGCTAAGAAACAGCCTTGTTCAACCAAATGTGTTCAATTTCTCTTGCACACACAGATGTGTAGTATACAAGTTACTCCTAGCAGACAATGTAACATTCTGACAGAGAATGAAGAGTTTATATGAGGAAAATAAGATAATTATTTCCAAGATAAAAAGCCTGAATTAAAGGACAATTTCTGTTCTAACTAAGTGGATGGAAAACATACCCATACACAAGGGAAATCCCAACAAGTTCTCGATACAGGTTAGAAGCGCTTTAAAGCTATTTACCCCTGTGCTAGCTGACAAACCCCAAAAGACTGGTGCAGCAACTTGGACCCAGCCAGGTCATAGAAGAGTCACAGGTCAGCAGACAGGAAGACTTGTTATATGCATGGTTCGTTTTCCAGGGCCAAATCTGCTGAGTTAAAAGCTTAGACCATGCTGGTAGTACAGAATTTTGCTGATGTGGGTGTATTAACCCTGGATGTCGAAAAGGTCATTTTAAACACCAACTCCCAAAAAGAGCAACCAGTGTAACTGCAATCATATTGACAAAATGAAGTTTTGCCAATGCAAACTAACTTATGCTTAAAGCATATTGGAATTACACTAGCAAGAGCTGCCTGCTTTACTACATAAGCAACATTTAAACTTAGTACACATTGACAGTAAAACACAATTAAAAGAACATATAAGCAATCTTTGTTTAGGCAAAAGCTAGAAAAACTCTTTGTAATAAATAGCAAATTATGAAGCAATTGGTTTCAAAAAATGTAAGTCCTGATTGTAATAAGTCACATATATTCTGCTGAGATAAGCTAAGAAAAACTGTAGCCAATATGGCCATTCTTAAAGGTCACTGACAAACCTTTATGATTCAAGCAAGAAATAGCTGCAGCCTTTAAAGAAAATGATACATGTAAGTGGGCTAAAGCAAGAAGTCATATCAAGCATATTAAGATATTTCTGTGACAAAACTTAAGACTGATATATTCCAACTTTGCCTATATGTGTGCACAAGAGATAGAGTAACACCACATTGTTATCTGACAGTTTTAAAAAGGAAAAGTCTTAAAGCCATGAAAACAGAGCGTAAGACCAACACCTTACTTGTTGGGCATTAAGAATATCTGTACTGGTTTCCTAGGCAGTATCTTACTGAAAATGTGATGGGTAGCACATTCAGTTGTACATGTTTAAGCTGAGTAACATACAAAGTTAAAAACAAAACAAAACAAAAACAACAGACAAACATAAAATATCCTGAGTTGGAAGGGACCCAAAAGGATCATCGAGTCCAACCCCTGCGTCCACACAAGCCACCCAAAAATCAGACCATGTGTCTGAGAGATTCTTGTCAGGTGACTGTGGAGGTTGCTTTCTCAGGAATTACATCAGTGTTGTATCAGAAGTGGCATAATGAAAAGAACATCATGATCACTGCTACTTCATTTTCCACTTGCTTGAAAATATTATTTTGAATGAAATTTGAAATCGATAGAACTTCTGATCTTGTGTCATTGGCAAAGCAATTAGCAAAAGCAAAACAATTTCACTATTTAATTCTTCAATTTAAAATATTATAACAATTAATTTTTCTTATTTACCTTTCTAACTAAGCACTTCATTAAATTCTCTGCTAAAATACAAACCCAGGAATTCTACATATCCAGATTGCTGTTTTACAGGATTTACCTGTAGATTATATCTATGATGGTAGCTTGTCCCTACATAAAGGAAACAAGGCAAAATTACACTTTAAAAAATGCAAAGCAGTGATTTCTCAAAAACACTGAGATTTTGCACTTTCATTTTTAAAAATCAGAACATTATAGCGTTGTCATAAATATTTAAGCCAGATTGTTAGACTCAGAGTAAACACTGCGAATTAGTCTTTCACTTTTCAATATACAGAATAAATACCTTTTTTAGAAGGACAGCAATGCAACAAAAAAGGCATACCTCTGAATAAAAAACAGAATTTAATATACAAACAAAATTTGATTTTGAGCCTTGACAAATGACTTCAGAATGCATGCTTTTTTTATCCTGATGCATTGCAGTCTGCTGTTGTTCACATTTGTATTTTTTTGTTTAGATCTTTCTCTTGAAAAAAAAAAACAGACACACATACAAGTGTGCAAATCTTTACATTGTCAAATTGAAAATCTGCAATAACGGCTGGAGAATGGACACTCAATGTCCAACACACACATGAGCTTCTGTCACCTCAGCAACATAGGACAGAAAGTCAGAAGGGTTGTCAACTGAAAACTCTTCCGTATAGCATATATAGCAAGCAAATTCAGTGATATGAGTTTCTAAGTTTAGAACAAGAAAAATGTCGATCATTTAGCATTATGACTGCTTGTTTTCCAGAAAGAATCCCTTCTAACAAAAGGCAAGAGCATGCACGTTGTGGAGCATCATCAGTTCTCTGCATTCTGAACAGATTACCGTTATGACAGACTGACAGACAAACTGACACATGACAAGTACAAATTTCCTAACACATCTGAGAACGCAGACGAATAATTTTAGAAACAACTAAGCAAAAGGAATTATGTTGAAAGCAAACCCTTTCATTTGGCTCACACCTTGGACTCACAGTTCTGTGCTTTTTGCCTAACAAGCTAGGACTTCTGAGATTTTCCGCCTGTTAAAAAACAAAATTGTCTGGCTCTCAAAAAACTATTACTAGAACACAAAAAACTATAACTGGAAACAATGCATGGTAT